TGACACTGCAGAAATACAAAGTATCATGAGAGATTACTACAAGCAACTATATGCCAATAAAATGGACAACGTGGAGGAACTGGACAAATTCTTAGAAAAGCACAACCTTCCGAGACTGAACCAGGAAAAAATAGAAAATATAAACAGACCAATCACAAGACCTGAAATTGAGACTGTGATTAAAAATCTTCCAACAAACAAAAGCCCAGGACCAGATGGCTTCACGGGCAAATTCTATCAAACATTTAGAGAAGAGCTAACACCTATCCTTCTCAAACTCTTCCAAAATATAGCAGAGTGAGGAACACTCCCAAACTCATTCTACGAGGCCACCATCACCCTGATACCAAAACCAGACAAACATGTCACAAAGAAAGAAAACTACAGGCCAATATCACTGACGAACACAGATGCAAAAATCCTCAACAAAATACTAGCAAAGAGGGCTTCCCTGGTGGCGCAGTGGTTGTGAGTACGCCTGCCGATGCAGGGGACACGGGTTCGTGCCCTGGTCCGAGAGGCAAAAAAAAAAAAAAAAAAAAAAGATTATGTACTTCTACGTATATTATACGTCAATGAAAATTAAAATAGAAAAAATATATTACATAATGAGAACGAAGGATATATTTAAAGAGAGAGAGAAGGCCTAGCTCCAGCAGTGTCATAAATTCATTGACTGTTGATTTACTGAGCACTTTACTGTATGCCAGGTGGTGAACCAATTAAGCATGGCTTTTCTTAGATTATTTTATTTGATCTTCACAAAAACCCAATATAATAGATTCTATTATTAGCCCCATTTTACAGACAAGGGAAACAGAGACTCAAAAAAAAAATCAAGTTATTTATTCCATGTCACACAGCTGCTAAATTGAGGAGTTAAAATTTAAAACCAGGTCTTTCTACTGTAGGGCCAACGCTCTTAAAAGAGTGCGGTATGGTGTAGTGATTAAGAGTACTCATGTAAAGTGATGATGGATCTGAGGTGTATGTCTTTCTACCTACAAGGAAATACTCTGTTTTGAGGGGTGGTGACTAGAATGTAGTACCAGCAGACAGTTGGCAAACACATGAACTCTCAGGTTATACTTCATTTCTAATATACAGTGTTTTAGGTCCCATTTATGACTGGATCATTGAAAGTATGACAAAGTCTTGACTGAACTTTAGCTCCTGTGGTGGGATAATCAATATGTGAAATCCTTAGGCATTTTTATCTGTTAATGGTCTGATAGCCACTGATTCCATTTTTATAGAAACATCTGGTTCATTTAAAGTATAAACAGAATAATTTCATTACTTTGCTGATTATTGTTTTCTGTTACTGGCGTTTCTGGTCTTTAGCCAGAATACAGTACTCCGGTGGCATCCAACTCCAGTCCGTTTCCACCTTTTAAAAGATAAAAGACAAATATATAAGAGATGATGGAGTGAGAGGTTTTGGATGTTGGGATCAGAAGTGGCGTTTGGTCAAGCTTCTAAACCCACCTATTTATTAGCTCTCAAAATCTTACTCCATATTTCACAAGTTTTCATTTTCTGAGATACAAACAAATAACCTGCATAAAACAGTCCGGAAGTCCCCCAAGGCCCGTGTCCAACAAGGTTCTTATTAATCATTTTTGGTCTTATAGACAACCGTGGCATTTATGCTAAAAAACATCCAACTCTGTGTACACCAAGGTTTGCTGTTTATGGTGTCCACTCCTTCTATGTCAATAGAATGGCTTGGGATTTCCCTGGTGGTGCAGTGGTTAAGAATCTGCCTGCCAGTGTGCCAGTGCAGGAGACAATGGTTCAATCCCTGGTCCAGGAAGATCCCACATGCCGCGGAGCAACTAAGCCTGTGCACCGCAACTACCGAGCCTGCGCTCTAGAGCCCGCAAGCCACAGCTACTGAGCCCGCGTGCCACAAGTACTGAAGCCCTTGCACCTAGAGCCTGTGTTCCGCAACAAGAGAAGCCACCACAATGAGAAGCCGGTGCACCACAACAAAGAGTAGCCCCCGCTCGCCACAACTAGAGAAAAGCCCGTGCGCAACAGTGAAGACCCAACGCAGCCAAAAATAAATAATTTTTTTTTTTTAAAAATAAAAAGAATGGCTAATGCCATTCTTGGAAATATACTTTCAGCTGTGTATCTGGAATCATTTGTAAAGAGGCCTACAGGTAGGAGTTAACCTTTAGAAATTAAGGCAAGTCTGTGCCTTTAATAGCAGAAGTTGATTATCCAAATCTGATACAGTTTTATGGCACATTCAATATGTCTAGGCAGGTATGAACTCCACAGTAGCATGGGTCTCCTTGCCACACTGGGTTTGCCTCAGTCAAATATGCCAAAGATCCATCAAGTTACTTTGAAAAGTACAGTGCAGGGCACACGGGTTCAATCCCTGGTTGGGGAACTAAGATCCCACATGCCACGGGGCAACTAAGCTCACATGCTGCAACTACTGATCCCACGTGCCACAACTAGAGAGAAACCCATGCTCCACAAGTACCTCGTTGTACCTACCACGTTGTGGTTATCCTCTAAAGAAAATCAACTTTTAGAGTAGCAAAAAGTTCAGTTAATTTCTGAATCTTACCCTAGTGTTCCCCAGCTTCAGACTTAAGTATGGTCATTGTCTCCTTTTTCCCCCTCATACCTCGTATTCAGCCTATCAGCTAATTCAGTTGGCTCTGCCTTCAAAGTGTATGTTGAATCCCAATTATTTCTCACCACGCATGTAGCTACCTTACTAGTCCAAAAGATTGTTGTCTCTTCCATGGACTACTGTGAAGTAATCTGTTAATTAGTCTCCTAATTTCCATTCATGTCCCCTGCAGCCTATTCTCCACATAGCAGTGATCCTTTATAAGGTCTCAGATTGTCATGCTCAGGCTATGTGCTTCTCCATGTGACCTCTCTCTGCATAGCTTCTCATCCTCCAGACTTCCCTCTCCAGCAGGGTACTCTGAATTTCTTACATGGTGGCTCAAGGTTCTAAGATGGAGTAAGCAGAAGTTGCCTGGACTCAGAAGTCCCAGAATGTCACTTTCTCCACATTCTGTTAGTCAAAGACCAGATTCAAAAGCTAGGACAAACTACTTCTTGATGGGAGGAACAGAATTCATGTTCAGGAAGGGATGGAATTGTTTGGGGCCATCTTTGGAGATAGCTACTACCACCCAAATGACCTGGATCATCTGGCTTGGACTACTTCTTCAACTGTATTTCTTCTTGCTTTGCTCACTTGGTTCTAGCCACCCTGGGCCCTCCTGTTGTTCCTTGAACATGCCATTTAGACTACCACCCAGGACCTTTGCTCTCAAAATGCCCATTGCCTGGACCATTCTTCCCCCGTGTAACAAAATGTCTAGTTTCCTCATTTTCTTCATGTGTCAGTTCAAATGTCATATCTTTAGGGAAACTGTCTCTGACCCCTTAGACTTAAATAATTGTTAGGTTGTTTATTAATTGCTACATAACAAATTACTACAAACTTAGCAAGTTAATATAACACCCATTCATTAGCTCACTGATGTCTAGGTCAGAAGTCTGATATAGCATGACTGGGTCCTCTGCTCAAAGTATCACAAGGCTGAAATCAAGGTGTCGGCTGGGCTGAGTTCTCATCTGGGGAAAAATCATCTTCTCAGCTCATTGTTGTTATTGTTGTTGGCAAATTCAGCTCCTTGCCTTTGTAGGATTGAGGTCCCCATTTCCTTACTGGCTGTCTGCTGGGAGCTGCTCTCAGCTCCTAAGGATGACTGAATTCCTAGTCAGGTGATCCCCTTCTCTTCTGCAACCAATTGGAGAAAACTCTCTGCTTTTAAAGGGCTCATGTCATTAGATCACACCCACTGGAGTAATCTCCCTATCTCATGGTCCTGATTTGGGACCTTAATTAAGTCACGGCAGTACCTACATGTTTGTTTGAATAACTGAGAGAGATGCTTGTACACCAGGGGTCAAGAATTTCTTGGGGGACCATCTTAGATTTTTGCCCGTCACAATAGCATATATTAATTTTTCTATCCCTTTATCCTGCTTTATTTTTCTTCAAAATACTATCTACATTATATTTTCTGTTTGTATGGTAATGTTTTTAGCTTGCTGTACCTACTAAAATGTAAGTTACTGATGGTAGAGACTGTATTATTTTTGTTCAGTGCTGTATTCCTAGCACCTAGGACAGTGTTTGGCACATTATAGATGCTCAATTAATATTTATTGAATGAATCAATTAATATAGAAGACTTTATGGCATATAATTTTGATGACAGCAGAGATAGGATTTTGGGGTGGTTGGGGGGAGGAAAAGGGTATATTGAGCATTGATGTTATTTAAGCTTTATCTCCAAAGGTACCAGGGTCTCAAATTATTCATTGGCTTTTCTTTGCATGGAGGATTTCTTACTTGACTATTAAAAAATAAGCTGTGGGCTTCCCTGGTGGCGCAGTGGTTGGGAGTCCGCCTGCCGATGCAGGGGACGCGGGTTCGTGCCCCGTTCTGGGAGAATCCCACATGCCACGGAGTGGCTGGCCCCGTGAGCCATGGCCGCTGGGCCTGCGTGTCTGGAGCCTGTGCTCCGCGACGGGAGAGGCCACAGCGGTGAGAGGCCCGCATACCGCAAAAAAAAAAAAGTTGTGAGTAAGTAATTGTATAAATGCCCAGTAACTGGTGTATACAAGAAAAAGCAAATTAGCTTTTTTGCTTGCTGGTAATAACATGCTTTCATCGTTTTTCATCTATATATCTCCAAATAATGCTTTCCTACGAACTTTTGGAAATGGATACCTTGTCATCCAGCAGTATTCCTGATTTACCAACTTGCTGTGGTATTTCTGTGGCTTTTTCCATATAACTGCTGTTTGCAAACATCCAATTACTAATAGAGTAACAGAGTGAGCTCCATCATATAGACATACATAACATAGCATGCCAGACTGGAAAATTATATAATTTCTCTTATTGTCAGTACTTATATGTTTCTTTCAATTCACCTCTTCTACAGACAAAACTTGCCAATGGCACTTCCAGTATGATTGTGCCCAAGCAACGGAAGCTCTCGGCAAGCTATGAGAAGGAAAAGGAACTGTGTGTCAAATATTTTGAGCAGTGGTCAGAGTCCGATCAAGTGGAATTTGTGGAACATCTTATATCCCAAATGTGTCATTACCAACATGGGCACATAAACTCGTATCTTAAACCTATGTTGCAGAGGGATTTCATAACTGCTCTGCCAGGTATGTCTACAGATGTTTGTAAGCCATTAATTTGCCTGGAAGATATGTTACAATGGTAATCATACTAAATCTACAACTCTATTATCTCTCTATTTAAAAAAAAAATCTTTGTTGGCTTGATTTTTACAAACTGAGCATTTAAATTGTACCTTCTTGGGATATAAATACAAAAAATCAAACTCTGTAAATAATAGACTCCTCTTTCCCCTCTCTTCTCCCTGTCTCGATTCACCCTATTTTTACTCACACGTAGGTTTAAATAAAATCTTTTCTGAGGTGTTGTCTGGTTTGAGATGTGTCTTTTATAATGTGTCTTAGTTTTAAGGTATATTAACTAATGTATTTGAATTTGGATTTCTATGTGAATTTATCAACCGAATATTTACATTATAGGAATGAATAAGAAACATTTTTAATTGAATATTTTAGAAAGGGTATCTCAGGAGCCTTGTTGTGATATTAAATATGTAAATGCCAGGGTTTACAATCTCACTGCTCAGGAACTAAATAGCTATTATAAACTATATATTTTTAAATATATATATATATTTGTACAGACACACACAGACACACATATACACACACAGACTTAAAATACTTTGGAGAGTGCTGTGGTTGTTTCACTGAATGCTTGATGGTGATCTAGGATACTATGTAGGCATCAGTATTTGGGGGAAATGCTGTCTCAGGAAAATACAAGTTTCTCACCTGTGTTAATAGCTTATTTTAAAAGAAAAATAGTACAGAAGTGAGTGAATCTCTAAAATAGCTTATCTTGTTTTTATTTTTTTTCAGTTGTTTCCTGATTATAGCACTTATGGGAAATTTAGAAAATTCAAAACAGTTTAAAATATAAAAATAAAATTTACCAGAACCCTACCATTCAGAGAGAACTACTAATATGCTATTAATATTTTTCCTAGGTGTGTATATTTCCCTCATAAGTGTTTGTAACATTTTTTTCTTACTGTATTCTCTTAATGTGTTTTTCTAAGTGTTGGTTCGTTTAAAAAATAATTTTTTATAGTATTTGTATTACTTACGGTGATTGAAGCACACATTATTTAAATGCTTTATTGAACATTTAGGTAGTTTAAAATGTTTTTTGCATTATAAACTGTGTTGTGGTGGACATTCTTATTCATCTTTTGGGCATCCTAGGGAAAAAAATACCAGAAGTGGGATTTCTATATTAATGAATTATGAACATATTTTAAGGCTTCTAATACATATGCCAAACTATCCTCTAAGAAAAATATACCAACTTATACCTTCCCCCCAAACTGCATGTTACCACTCTGCTTAACCTTTGCCAATTATATCTTTTTAAAAATTTGTTTTTCCAAAATTGGAATTTAAATTGCCCTTTAAAATAAAAGAAATGCCTATTTATATCTTAGAAATAACCATTTTCAAGCTGAATTTGTTCCTATATCTTTTGTTAAGTAGAATAGATTTCTGCCCCTTCTTCACTCATTGGATTTTATTTTAGCCATAGGCAAACAGTTTTCTTTGTGCGAACAATCTATGTGTACCTCATTACTGTACTCTTCCCAATCACTGAGACATGTTACAATCTCAAGCATATACCACTAAGAATTGAACAGGAGATGATTAGACTTGTATATCCTTTGCCTAATAACAATCTCTGATGTATATCTGCTGACCACTTCATAAGACACTACATCATCAGTCTAATGCTTTATGGCCGCTTTAACTTATGAACCTACACCATCTGGCTACATTTAGTAAACCAGACTACTTCAAAAAATGCCTGTAATCCATTAATGTAATGGGTTTGTTTGGAGTGTTAGGTGAAATTACTTCCAAAGACTTATTATAGGGACATAGTGAAAGATCAGGAGCAATTTCATGCCAGCCATTAAAAACAGGAATGCATTTTGGGAACTTCTGATGGTGTAGAAAGTTTCAACATAAAGATGCAGAAATTGTGCCATTACTGTTTTTTGTATGATGAACTAATTATTATATCTTTAATTGGCTTATAGTCATGTTTCTTTAATAAGAATTAGGTGATGAATGCCTCCATCTGCTTGTGCTTAAATATGAACATGTGATGCCAGCCAAAGATCCATTTAATGCTTTCTTTTCCAAATCTGCTGAAAAATGTGACTGATATCCATACAATTTTTATAATTAAAATAACGTTTAAGCACATTTGGATTTTTGCTAATGGCATCCAAATGTGTCTTTGTATGATTCAGGGGAAAGACACAAAATGAAATGTGGTATTCTCTCTCCTGTTTGTTAAGTTTGTGCCTAAGGGAATCAGAGTATGAAGGAATCTTTCTGCACTATTTAAGTCTTTAGCAAACCTCTGATATGTAACCTGTAAAGAGAAATAACTTTGAATGTTTTTGTCTCACTTGTGAGTTAGAACAGCAGCCAAAAGTTAGTGCAGATATCCTATTTTACAGGATTTGTTCCTCTGAGGCCCCAGTACAGATTTGGGTAGTAGAGAATTGTAATTGAGAAGCCCACCCAGTTAACACAGTCCAAGATCTACTTCCACTGTTCTTCTCTGTATATCCTACAAAAATAGTCTCTGAAATTATAAGTTATCTATTGGTCTGGGATTTTTTTTTTCCTTTTTTGGCCAACTGTCATTTAGGCTTTATAGCAGCAACTGTTCTCGAATATATTTTTTAAACATCTAGAATTAAACTCGAACTTAAACATACCTCTCGGTCATTCCTCTTGGAATGTTTCTATATCAATCTGTATTTCCTTCTTCTCTCCTTTCTGCATGCCCAGAATTCTATAATCCAGAACATTCTGACTTAGTGCCTCTCCCCCAGTACATTTAAAGGATATTTCTTTTACTGAACAGCTTAGGAACTGCAGCAGTAATAGAAACAGAATGAGAAATGGACCTAATATAGAGAATTGGGGTGTGGGGGGTGTGAACCACAGAGTTTGAGATGCCATCCATAGAACATCCCCTAGTGCCGAAATCCATATAGATAGATGTGAATTGTTTCCTGGAATCCTTTTTATTTTTAATGTCTTGGGGGGTTTGCTGGTTGTTAGTTTTCACTTCCTTATCTAAAGGAAGATGGAAAATACTGTTCATTTCTGTAACCTTATAAAAATTATTGACACTCATTTTACCCCAGTCTGTTTGAAAAAGAAACTGGACCACACTAGGGACAGTAATGTGCCTTCATAGCAGAATAAATGCTGTTCTGATTTAAAGGACCTTTTGTAAAAAATCATTCACCACTATCTATGTTCTTTTTCTTTGCCTCCTCCCCCGACCGAAAGCTCGGGGTTTAGATCACATCGCTGAGAACATTCTGTCATACCTGGATGCCAAATCACTATGTGCTGCTGAACTTGTGTGCAAGGAATGGTACCGAGTGACATCTGATGGCATGTTATGGAAGAAGCTCATCGAGAGAATGGTCAGGACAGATTCTCTGTGGAGAGGCCTGGCAGAACGAAGAGGGTGGTGAGGCTTTTAACGTTCTTACTGTTACAGAGCTTCAGGACCTGGCCTTTCAGTCTCTGGAATACAGTATTATTGGGAGCCATGAGACCACTTATCTTTTGATACAGTGATTTTGCTGTTTTATAGCAAAAAATGTTAAATAGTTGTTCGTGTACTTGACAGTTTTTCTTCTGACCAGTCACTCATAAGTGACATAATGATGTGTTAATACTGCTTTGCAAAAAATCATAAAAAAACTGGCCAGCCATTCTATTTGAAGCGTTCTGTTCTCTGGGCAGAGATTGGTATCCTGAAAAAGGGCTGATGGGCAATTTATAAGGCAAGTAGATGGCTTTGAATCACACAGAAGCCATCAGATCTAGCTTTCCCCTAAAATAATCCAGAACAAATAATTATTTTCTTTTTCAGATTTCTTGCCTTCAGCCCTTGCCTGTGGTGTTTTATCACCTTTGTAATCAAAATTATTTTTATGCCCAACTAAAATAAGAACTCAAGCCATCAGAAAGAGGGAAGATTGGAATTTAGTATAAATCATTGTTTCTTTTTAAGACTCTTATATTTTCTCAAGATTTTACTGCTTAATCCTGAATCCCTTAAGGCATTATATAGTTAGCAGCCCAAGAGATAGTCACCAATTTTGTTGTTCTCTTAATGTAATGGTACCATTTCATTAGAACTTCTGGAAGATGTCTTCTATATATAATTTTCTCTCGGAGGATGTCTCTATAATGTCACTATAAGAAAGTTGGGTGTGAATATTTCATAAATAAAATAAAGGTGACATATTAAATGTTTTAGTTGGGAGATATGCACAAGCAGGCATATGTATGCTCAGTGATATCCTGAGCAATTAATTTTATGAATTGTTTATCGTGGATCATAAAGAGATACAGAACAGTTAAGAATGGAGGATCAGCTTTTCTTAGCAATTTTCATAAAAATATAGTCAGCTCCCTTACTTTTTTTGCATCTTTGAAATTCATTAAAGAATAATAAACATAATGACCTCTAAACATTATACCAAGTGCTTCAAGAGATTTCTGTCATTCTGGCTATTAGGAAGACTTTAAAATTTCTCCCAAATTCAATTAAATAAGGAAGCAAACGCCAGGCAGTTTGGGGCTATGTAAAAATTGCATAAGTGAAAGTTATTATTTCTCCTTCCCGAATATGTTTTCTTTATTCTCATTTATTTCACTATATAGAAAACTAGAAATCTTACCTTTCATAACTTATTTCATAATTTGGAAATAAACTCTTTATATTGTATAAAAAAAAGTATATAGTTGTATGGCATTCGAAGTCCATCATTTTGCTAAGCATGCCAGGATGAGCCTTAGAAATAGAGGAGACAGTTGCTTACATGGGAAAATTTTAGGGCAGCTAGGAATATTCCTCCACCCCTCAGGGGAAGAAAAAAAAAAATGAAAAAAAAACTCCCCTCCAAATAAGTCCTGACCTGAAATTTCAGTTGTAGAGACTTATTCCCATAGCTATAAAGGTTTTGTTCCCTGTTAAAATGTACTTTGTTCCCATTTGGACTGTAAATGACAATAAGCCTTTATCACACCTTGAGACTTTACAAAGTCTCTTTTTTTGAAGGCAGGGAGAACAAGAAGTAGATGGACAGGTCTTGACACATACATGTGAAAATGCCAAAGATAAATGTAGGCTCCACAGTTTTGTTTAGGGTTGGCACTAAAGATCTATTATGTTAGTTACACAGAAGAAAAAACCAAGTAAGATCATTGAACCAGACGGCTTTTTGGCCTTTTAAAAGGGTGTGTGAAGGTATAGCTGAGAAATAATTCAGGATTCAGCACCAATTATCACTTTTCCCTCTATCTCTTCAACCACAGAAACCCATTCCTGCTCTTTTGAGGATCCTTCAGAGTTCTGACTGTATTCCTTTGTCTTTGGCCATATTTATCAGCTTGATACAGACCCATGAAATTTCAAATATTTGTTCACCCCATGAAGATCGCCTCCAGTATCCCCTTCACATTCTGTGGCTGCTTATTTTTACATGTTGCCTTTCTTCCTGTGTTAGTTGTCCTTCCTCACTTAAAAAAAAAAATTAATCTATGATCACTTTTTCATTTTTTTCTTGCAGGTTGTCTTAACCAAGCCTCCTTTGTCAATAAAGTCTGTTATACTACCTTTCCCCAAATACTGTCTTTGAAAGTTTCTTCCATTTCTTCCAACCAAAAATAAATAAATACAGTTTTCTAAAAAAGCTTTGGGTTTAATTTCCACTCTACTGTTGTATTTTATATCTAGATGAATTTGACACTCTGCCCCTAGGACATGAACTCTTATTTTCTCTCTTGAATAATACTGAATATTCTCTCTGCTCAGTAATGGTAACTCTTAAAAGTATAATAAAAGACCACTTGGGAAAAGTCCATTTCCTTAATCAGCAGATCACATTTTATGATAACATTCTGAATTTAATATTTAGCATTTATCATGTCCTCACACTCTCAGAAGTACTAGGCATTTCAATAGAAGTGGTCCCTGTTGTCAAAGAGCTTCCATCATAAAAGGTTTTGACTTACAAAATAAATATAGACTGAGAAACCAGTTTTCAACACTTAGCCACCCTTTTTTGTAGCACCTTTGATTCAAAGAAACTCAAATACTTTAGCAAGGTGTGATAAATACAGTGGGGTAGAAAATGAGATCAGAGGTTTGTATGATTTCTTTTTCCTTATGGTATAGTTTCATTGCATATGAAGAAAATCCTGGGGTGCCTGTATACGATTGCCAGAGATTAAAAGGAGGACAGGAATCTCTGAGAAATGGTGGGCATTGAGAGACAATAAAGTAGTTAGGGCTTCCCTGGTGACACAGTGGTTAAGAATCCGCCTGCCAATGCAGGGGTCGTGGGTTCGAGCCCTGGTCCGGGAAGATCCCAATGCTGTGGAGCAGCTAAGCCTGCAAGCCACAACTACTGAGCCCACGTGCCACAACTACTGAAGCCTGCACGCCTAGAGCCTGTGCTCTGCAACTAGAGAAACCACCACAACGAGAAGCCCACACACTGCAACAAAGAGTTAGCCCCCACTTGCTGCAACTAGAGAAAGCTCACGCACAGCAGCGAAGACCCAATGCAGCCAAAAATAAATAAATAAGTAAAAATTTAAAAAACAAACCAAAAAACCCACCAGAGATATAAAGTAATTAAGAGTGTGGCCTCTGAAGTCAGACTTAGATTCAAATCCCAGGTCTCCTCACTAGCTGTGTGACCTTGGGCAAGTTGCTTAACCTCCCTGACATTTGATTTCTTCATCTGCCAAATGAATATAGTGATTCTTACCTCATTAAAGGATGTTGACGTTGAAACTATTAAATTGTAATTATTGACCAGATTTTTTTTTTTTTTTTTTGCTGAGCTGTGCAGCTTGCGTGATCTTAGTTCCCCCACTAGGGGTTGAACTCGGGCCCCCAGCAGTGGAAGTGCCGGGTCCTAACCACTGGACCGCCAGAGAAATTCCCTATTAACCAGATTAGGACCTCTTCATTCAAAATCTGTTTGCCTGCAATATGTTTATAGAATAATATTGTTCAGAGAAGTGTATCTTGAAGCCCAAATTATTTCATAATGTGTCTTGTTTGCCCTTTTCTTTATGTTGATATATCATGTTTTTTGTTCCTATTAGTCCCTTTAAAAAAAAAAAAACTATTGTTTTAGCTTCTCTGTTGCAGATTACCCTTTTTGTATCAACACAGAAGTCAGAGCCAGCTACCTTCCTGATAGGAAATTTTCTCAACTAATTTTCAAGGTGTATAATAGGAAGAGGGCAGGAGAGAAGTGCTCCTAGAGACACTGAACAATTAATTATTTTGTAATGGAGCTATAGAGGGAGGAGTGGATGACTGGCCCAGAGAAAACATGATTTCTCTGGTGCCAGGATTACACTCAGAGGCATTTCTGCCTATCTCCACTTTGCAAGGCACAGTGCCAATGAGAACAGCAATTAGTACACCCATAGTGGGGTTTACTAGCTTGCACACCGTGTTTGGTGGGTTCTTAACTTCAGGATGAGGAATTAAATTTTTTACCCAGCAGGAAGTGATTGCCATTTACTGATTTTTTTTTGTAGCAAAGATCTAGCTTGGGATATGAGTATTCCAGAGATGTTCTGTCATAAGGAAGGAGGTGCTAACAAATGTTGCTCACTGGAATCAAGGAGAGGCAATAAAATCCATGTATGTATGTACATAGCCAGGAACACACCTGTGAAAGTCAATTTTGTGCCTTAGACTGGACAGCACAGTGCTCTTAGGCATTTCTTTTTTTTAATCTGCTTTCATAATTGCTGCTGGACACTCCTGTGGTCCCTTTGTTTTCTGTCGAAATTGCTCCTTTTAAAGCATAGCTACACTGATCACCAGCAGCCTGGGTGCCTGAGCCGCCAACACACCTTACCCCATATAACTGGAGACTAGAAAAAGTAATCTCGGTGACAGAGCCATTCCTGCTGCCCACAATGCTAGGCTCCACTGACACTGGCACAGCTTTACTCAGTGGAAAAAGTCTTTGGGGCATGTGCCTAGTTCAAAGGTGGTAGTTATTATCACAAACAAAATTTTCAAAACGTAAGGCCAATGAATCTGTCTGTACAGTGGTCTGATTGTCAGTAGATGAATTCTGAATGTGTGCATTCCATTTGTCTATTGACATAATATTCCTGAAGGCCTGACACTCTGATGTTCTATACTAGAAATCATCATGTTTTACCCAAAAGCAAATCAATGTTGGCAGAGTTCCTTTGAGCCCAGAAAGTTCCTCCTTGACATGGACTCTTGAAATTGAGCTTAACTTCACACCTCTCCAGGCTAGTTATGGAGATTATATGGAATGGTAACTGTGAAAACACTTTGAAGAAATAGGAAGTTCCTTGTAAATGTATAATATTATGATTTTTATTGGGAAATATTTGTTGTTTTTTAGGGGACAGTATTTATTCAAAAACAAACCTCCTGATGGGAATGCTCCTCCCAACTCTTTTTATAGAGCACTTTATCCTAAAATCATACAAGATATTGAGGTAAGAATCTATGTATATTTGGGTATTTGCCAAATACTAGAGAATCATCAACATTCTTCAGTAACAGCATTGCTACAGCAAACCCATTAGGGTTTATTGTGTGGGTTAAAAATCAATTTCTTTACAAGTGAGTAGGATAGGTAAAATATAGTAAATTCCCAGGCAAAAAAACTTTTAAGCTTTTAAAAACTGTTTACTGATAGATAAATAGATGAGAGAATACGATAACAGCAGTGAAACTGCTAAAGTTGCACTTATAAGCCATTATTCAAATATCTTCTGAATTGAGCCTCTGTGGAAGTTCACTGGTAGAAATGGCCACCACAAATGAAAGATGAGCACTGAGTAGGTAACCTCATGTGGTTCATAGCTTGCCCTCTGTTGGTGAACAGTCTCTTCTTTCTAGCAGGTTTATTATTTAGTTCAACGAGTTATATACAGGAGAGTTCTAGAAAATAAATCTTTAATTACTTTGCACATGGAAAAATGTTTTACAGAGTTAAATAGTGGCTTTTTAAAAAAAATGCCTTAAGTTTTATATATCCAGTAGAGTAAAGCATTGAGCATTTGTCATTGGTTACCATGAAAGTCAGATAAGAGCTTAGTTCTAGTCCTCTCCTAATTATTGCTTCTTTACCATTCCTTCTTCTCAGACAATAGAATCTAATTGGAGATGTGGAAGACATAGCTTACAGAGAATCCACTGCCGAAGTGAAACAAGCAAAGGAGTTTATTGTTTACAGTATGACGATCAGAAGATAGTAAGCGGCCTTCGAGATAACACAATCAAGGTGAGGTCTCTTCAGTTATGGGAAGGTAGCAGAAGGGGTGAGGACGACCACAGTATAAAGCAATCAAGCATAAACTCTAAGCAGTATTTCCAGAAAGTAAGAGTTTTAGATTGTTTCCAGTCCAAAAGCCAAAATTTCCTTAAAGGAAAAATGCCTGCTTCCCTCCAGAAATGCATGCAAGTGGATAGGGCTAGGGTTAAATTCTCTTCTTGAAGTGCACTGAATGGGCTATTACTCTTTTGGCCTTCACATAATTATAGGCTACCGCTGTTCCTTAATGAAAAGGATAAAGTCTGCATTAGTACTGAAGCCACATATATATAGGTGCTTAGCTATACGTATAGGAAAGAATGCATTCCACACTACTCCGGGCTTTGATTCTTTTGGGGAATCAAACACATAATAGAGCCAGCAAGTCTCTGCAGCACCCCATTATCATAATGATCAAAAGGATCTTGTTTGCCATCCTAGATCTGGGATAAAAGCACATTGGAATGCAAGCGAATTCTCACAGGCCACACAGGTTCTGTCCTGTGTCTCCAGTATGACGAGAGGGTGATCATAACTGGATCATCGGATTCCACAGTCAGGTAGAAAATTTCAAATGATCTTTTGAACTCTGAAATATCAGATTCACTCTGTTCTGTCTTAGATAGTAATTTTGTATGTATTTGCATGAACACAGTTAAGAAACTTCATAACCAAAAAAGAATAAACCACCAGCTCTCCCCATCATTGTGTCAGTCTAAAACTAGAAAACTTGATTTAGGAATGGTTACGGTAAGTTTACATTTTTGTACATTTAAGAAACTACAGGGACTTCCCTTGTGGTGCAGTGGTTAAGACTTTGTTTGCAGTGCCAATCCAGGCGGCCTTGGTTCTATCCCTGGTCAGGGAACTAGATCCCACGTGCCGCAACTAAGACCAGGCACAGCCTAAATAAATATTTAAAAATAAAAAAAAATTTTAATTACAAAAAAAAAGAAACTACATATTCTATTTTGATTTGGGGGAATCATCTATTACAGAAACTTGGTATACCTTGCATTTCTTACAAAAGCCACCTCATGGGGGAATGACATGAATGGAATGAAGCCTTCCTTTCAAGTGGTTATAACTGTAGTACAGGCATGCGTATCTCCTTTAAAATGTGTACAGGTGAGCAAAGCTCTCTCTTTGTCAACCCCTCCCCTGCTGTCCCTGCAGTTTTTAATTGCAAGCTTCACTCAGGGAGGGACCTTCAATTTCCAGAGGCATTAGTGATTTGATGACACAGCCATTATGCTGCTGGAGTCCACTGTAGCTTGAGTTCTGGGTACTAGCAGCACTACTAGAAACCTCTGTTAGGAATTTTGCCTTGAGCTAAAGGATTTAGCAAACATAATGCATCAAAAGTAACTTTAAAAAAATAGGGAAAAAAGCAGTTAACTGCATTGTTAGATTCTCTGAAGCTAAATGTTTACCATTCCAAGTTATCCTCTGTGAATAGAAAAGGCCATTCCTGTTTCTTGTCTTTTGACTTAAAGGCACAGCAAATTCTGTTCTTAGAGTTATCAACATTTAACATTTATTGGTGCTTGTGGAGTGCCTCAAGGAAGCTGAAAGATTGTAAAGGCTAACATCATTTATAGGACAAGGGAAAAAATGATTTTCTAAAAGAGGGTTAAACTGAAAAAAGAAATAAAATGTGTTGTAAAAAACAAAGTAAATATACAAAAATAGAGTGATCAAAGTAAAATATACCTTCACAAAAAATTCTCAAGCTATCCAAGGGTCACACACTCTGCTGTGAAGCCCATATTGATATTGGGATGGCTGTTCTTGATCTCTACACTCATTTAAAGCACAGAAATGGGGCCTTACATTTAGAGTCTAGATAATTTTAGGCCTTGATCTATGTGGTGAAAAGGTCCAGCATCATCAAACTCAAATCCATAGTACTAAGTCAGTCTGTTAGGGAAGCTTCTTGGCCTATGTCAGTCTAGGACCTGAGGGCTGTCTGTGGGACCACCAGTGCTGTAGTTATTATTAATCAGATTCCCAGTTTAAAATGTAACAGATTGAATGTTAGAAGGTATATGATAATCTTGAAGTCTGTGGCCAATTCTCTGGTGATGGTCGCTGCAACCTCATTCCAGCCCCCTGAAACTAGCCCAGATTTCACATTGACAGCATCCCATCCCCTTCCTCTTCCTTCTCTCCCAGTCCAGCCCTCTGTCTACCACTTCCCCATGATCCATCAGTACACTTTAACTCAGCTCAACTTCAGAGCTGCAGAAGGAAAGTAGGGTGTAACACTAACTATGAGAATAGGGTGGGAAGGGTGGGGAGTGAGGTGGTCCAATACTTGTAATAGATTGTAGCATGAGCTCCTCCTCAATCTCGGATAACCTTAATGTTGTTTGTTCCAGGGTGTGGGATGTAAATACAGGTGAAATGCTAAACACATTGATTCACCATTGTGAAGCAGTTCTGCACTTGCGTTTCAATAATGGCATGATGGTGACCTGTTCCAAAGACCGTTCCATTGCGGTGTGGGATATGGCCTCCCCAACTGACATCACCCTCAGGAGGGTGCTTGTTGGACACCGAGCTGCAGTCAATGTCGTGGACTTTGATGACAAGTACATCGTTTCTGCATCTGGGGATAGGACTATAAAGGTAAAAAGGCATTTTTCAGTAAGTTCCCAAGTTAGAAAAGGGAAGTTCATGTGGAAATCTGCTCAAGGGCAGTTTCATACTTAACCCTCACTGTAGAATACTTAATATTTAAATCAACTACTAGTTTATGCGTAAAAAGGTAATGAGTGAGATAGGTTGTGTGACAATTTGAATTAGGTTTTTATTCCTATAAATAATGGTTAGTATGAAAAGGGCAGGGGTAAATTTAGGTTCAAGAAAATTTGTCTGCAAGACCAGACTAACCCCATAAGAGTACATCAGTTTGAGGATTCTCATGTGATAGCAGCCAGCTACAAATTAGCCGTATATTACTATGAATTAAACTTGTCATTTTTTGGTTTGATTTGGATTGGTTTGAAAAGTTGAATTCCCCCTATTAGTTCAGTCCTATTTTCTGCTTCCCAAAAACTCCAGTTGCCATAGATTTTACTAGTAAAAGCACCAGATCAACTGCCAAATGCTATTTTTATTTCAGGTATGGAACACAAGTACTTGTGAATTTGTAAGGACCTTAAATGGACACAAACGCGGAATTGCCTGTTTGCAGTACAGAGACAGGCTGGTCGTGAGTGGCTCATCTGACAACACTATCAGGTGAGCAGCAGGTGCCCTTGCCCAGAAGGGATCACTGTTATCCTGCCATTCATTGTTTGTGCACAGGTCAAACAGATTTTCAACTGTGTTAAGTTTATAATAAAACATTTTTCAGTTTCTGTAGCTTCTTACAGATCAAAAGTTTGCCCCAAGCAGAGAGGCAGCATAGCAAAGCCTTTTGTTGATGTGTTTCCTTCCTGTAATAGTTTTATCACCATATAGACCTATTTAAAAAGAACTGCTTGAAAGAGGAAGTGAGCAAGAGAGATAAAAATGGAGGCTGAAGGCCCTTCTCTTTAAATTTCTCCTGTCTGCAGTTGAAAAGTGCTAATAAATAGCTAAAGGCCTTTTCTCTTTGCCACTGTTCTAAAAAAAGAAAAGAGATTTGTTTCCCTGCTAGAAATTGTGCATTTTGTTTTCTTAGCATTACATAATTAGCCAGGGAGTTACCAGTCTTTGAAATTATGAAAAAATTATGAAGAATCCACAAATTGAAGTACTTTTTGGTATTTATCCTTCATGAAGATGAATGACACTCATATGAATAGAATTTGGAAGATTTATCAACCCTCTCCCCCTCCTTCAAAGAAGTACTAAGGAATGAAAAGGCTATTGAAAAAACAGATAGATATTGTTATATCTAAGGAAATTATCATTCCTAGAAATCCTTTGGATTGGTCAGAAAGCATACATAATTTAAATTAGTATATAAAAGTTTTTGAGAACTTACTTTGCATTTCCATTATATGAGAAAAACTGTCCTGGACAGTGGGGTGACAGCAAAGAGTGTCCTCAGTGACAAAGGTGGACATACTTTGTGAGGGCAGGATGTCACTGATACTGCGTCTCATTCTTAGTAATTGTGATTTTAGGAAACATTATTTTTCTTGGCTTGGTCATTTCCTTCATAGGCAACTGTGTACATTGAATTCATCTTTTATATTCCTTGGTGACCCTGATTACAGAATTATATGAAGGTTGGTGCTTTGAAAATATATACTGCATATTTGAACTTAAATCGTACATTTTTCTGCTTATACGGCAGAAAAGAAATAAATTACACTGAAAGTAATACATTTGTGTATGAGTGTTGATTGATTTTATTTTTTGGATATTTTAAAAGACGTATGAAGTATGTTATTATAACATTCCAAGCTTAGAAAAGAATACCTGAAAATTCACTTGACTCAATTTTCTCTTTTAGATTATGGGACATAGAATGTGGTGCATGCTTACGAGTGTTAGAAGGCCATGAGGAATTGGTGCGCTGTATTCGATTCGATAACAAGAGGATAGTCAGTGGAGCCTATGATGGGTGAGTTTGCTAACAGCGTTTTTTAAAAATCTACCTGTTAATCCCTCCTGCCTTAGAATGTTAAATATAACCTTTCCTTGTCTCTAAAAGATTATAGATATCACAGAAAAAATCTGATACAATATTTCTTGTGTCTAATCCATATATTCACCTCTCCTTTGTTTACTCTTTTCTAAAATATGCTTCCCAATCATTTAATTGTACTTGTTTGCTCATGAATTTCATTAATATTTTGGCTTTTTGGTTATATATTTATCCATTTTGCCGTATAAAGCAAAGAACTGGGTAAACCCACTATATCAGGATATGAATATAAAATAGTAACTTATTAATAAAGCTGAAACGTTGGAGGGCAATATCTTGAAGGTGGGGTGGCGCTTAGTATGGTACAGTCTTGAATTTTTATCCCTCTTAGTGATTCCTAAAAGTACAGCCCTCTTGTCCTCACTTCTAGCATTTCAGTCACAATGAGTTAAGTAATCTTTACTTTCCTTTAGTCTGATTTTGAATGGTCATAGAGTCCATTCATGTTGTGGATAGATCCCATGTCCAGCAATGCTAATAAGCACATAGTAAATTTTTACAAAAGTGTATTCACTTATGAAGTGCTCTCTATCATTTCTCCTCATCAAGGTGCCTGATTTGGGGAAGTAGAAGGTCACAGTTCAAATATTGGCAGCTTTTTATTTTATTTTATTTTATTTTATTTTTATATTTATTTATTTAGCTCCGCCGGGTCTTAGTTGCAGCACGTGGGATCTTTTTAGTTGTGGCATGTGGGATCTAGTTCCCTAACCAGGGATCGAACCCAGGCCCCCTGCCTTGGGAGTACAGAGTCTTATTCACTGGACCACCAAGGAGGTCCCTGGCAGCTTTTGTAAATATCAGAAACTAACTTACAACATTATCTTAGTTTATGAGCTGGCTATACTGATATATTAAGACAACTCAAGCAGCAGCAGTAAGTGTTAAGAGACCCACTTCCTCTGCTTTGAGTCAGCCATCACTGTTCTACCCTTGGGAAATTGTTCAGGGTATGATGACATGTTCCAGATAAGTCCAAGGTTGTATTTTCTCATTGCCCTGGTTTTGATCTATACCCACTTTTCTTGGGTTTTTTCTGTTGTTAATACTTACCTTGAGGAGACATGACCTATACTTGATTTATAGAAGAGCTATACTTTTCTTATTTAAATCAAAATATGAGGATTTGCTTATATCAACTCCAGAGCTCTTAAATGGACCCCAGTCCTCTGATATGTGTGACGTGAGCCATTCTTAGAATTGACCAGAAAGAAGATGCCTCAGAGTTATAGGTTTCTAGGTCTAAGTGATCTCTTCTATCATTAAGAGTTCTAATGTATCGATATAAGAACTCCTTTTGGCCCAAAGTATGGTGTAACTTTACCATTCACTCTCTTCAGTTTGGTTAAAGCTAACCTGTTTCTCGTTTTTAGGTTAATCACGTACATTTTCCACTTTTAAGAATGAATGCAAGGACTGAGTCTCCAAAACAAAAAAGTTTTTGTATATTTCTGTGAGCTGCACTTATAAACTATCTTTGCCGTACATATTTATTGCCGTGACTTTTTACTGTTCTTCCTGTGTTCCCTTAATTTTGCTTTTAACTAAGATTTTTGTCCCCTTTTTGATCTTTAGAAAAATTAAGGTGTGGGATCTTGTAGCTGCTTTGGACCCCCGTGCTCCTGCAGGAACTCTCTGTCTACGGACCCTTGTGGTAAGAGCCTTATTGTTTAGAGGGGTTTGGGGAGCAGGAAGGGAAAGAAATTAACATTGATGTGCTGTGGAATACAGAGCTGGATTTGATAGTTGGAACTTCACAAAGCCTACTACTAAGTGGAAAGGCAACCAATACATGACAATAAAATATGTTTATATAGCTGCCTTTCATCCAAAAGTGCTTTAGAGACTGTATATGGAGAAGAATGTGGCAGCTGTTCAACAGCTGCACGGCAGCTCTACACACAGTTTAGTACAGGAAGTGAATAAGAATTCTCTATCCACCAGAAACAGTAGGGGGTACTTAGGGAGAGAGAACATAATTACTCAATTGGAACCTGTCCAGAATCTGAGGACCTGCACACCTGTGCCTGCAAAAAGTGCCAGGGGAGTCTGTGTGAACCCCCTGGTCAGCCCCTGAGTTACGCTTCCTGTTTAAGGCATGCCGCCTGCAGCAATTTAAATCTCGTCTCTTTTATACTAATATACCCCCTTGCCCAAACATCTTGATATTTGGGCAAAGAAGTGACATAGAAGGAAGAATGTCACCTCAAAAGCACCAAGTTCTTTATCGTGGTGTTAGCCAAAGGCCCAGATCAGAAAATGGCTTAAGGTTTGAAAGCTGCTTCCACTAGAAAAAGATTAGGTGGGGCACCAGGGAGGACAAATCTTTTGCACAATTCAGGGAAAAGATGAGAGCAAGCATTTGAAGCCCAGTGTTCTGAATCCTGACTCTCAACATTTAGGCAGCCTCTGCTTTGGAGAAGAGGGAGATGCATTTCTTTGTCTCCCTTGTTGGATTTAAAGCTCATTCTTATAGCACCAGACCTGCTTTACCTGCATGTTTCACACATGGTTTTTTAAAGTGTGTACTTTAATTCATTTGATTTTTGAAGTATAATTTACATACAGCAAAATTTGTCCCTTTTTTAGTGTACTTCTATGAATTTCGCAATTGTGTAAACACCACAGTCAAGATATAGAACATTTCCATCACCCCAAAAATGATACCCCTTCATATTAATCCCCTCTCCTCAACCCCTAGCAACTGTCCCTATAGTTTTGCTATGAGTGTCATATAAATTAAATCATATTTATGTAGCTTTTTGCACTTGGCTTTTTTCACTTCTTTTGAGATTCATCCACATTGTTGCATGTGTTAATACTTTGTTCCTTTTTATTGCTGAGTGGTATTCCATTGTATGGATGAACTAATTTCTTTATTCATTCACCAGTTTAAGGACATGTGGAATGTTTTCAGTCTTTGGTGATACTGAAAACATTCCCATACAGGCTTTTGTATATACATTTTTTTCTTTCATTTCTCTTGGGTAAATACCTAGGAGTATGATTTCTGAATATATATTTAAATTTAAAAGAAACTACCAACCTGTTTCCCAAAGTAGCATTTTGGGAGTTTGCGAATGCAAACCATTTTACATTTCCACTAAACAATGTGTGAATGTCCAATTTTTCCACATCCTTGACAGGACTTGGTGTTGTCAGTTTTTAAAAACATTACAGCCATTTGAGTAGGTGTGTAGTGGTTGTAGTTTTAATTTACATTTCTGTGATAGCTAATGGTATAGAACATCTTTTCATGTGCTTCTTTTGAAGTGTCTTCACATCTCATCCTCATTTATTTATTGAGTTGTCTTACTAAGTTTTTAAAAACATTTATTGTGGTATAATAGACATACAATAACATGAGCATATTTAAGTATACAACTTGCTAAATTTTGACGTATGTACAAAACAGTGAAAACATCACTTCAGCCAAATAATGAACATATCCTTATGCCCCCTATTACATAGTAATCCCTCCTTCCCATCCCACCCCACTTTTCCTTGCTCCTATCCCCAGGCAGCCACGGATCTTCTTTCTGTCAGTATTGATTAGTTTACATTTTCTAGTGTTTTATGAATGTAATCATAACAGTATGTACTCTTTTTTGCCTGTTTCATTTCACAAAGCATAATTATTTTGAGATTCACCCATGTTGTTCATATAGAGCAATTTTCCTTTTTGAAAATTGCTGAGGAGTATCCCATTGTATGGTTATACCAAAATTTATTTATCCATTTGCTAATTGATGAAAATTTAGTTTATTTCCAGTTTGGGCCTATTACAAATAAAGTTTCTATAAACATTTATGTACAAGTCTTTGTATGAACATATATTTTCATTTCTCTGGGATAAATCCTAGAAACAGAATGGCTAGGTCACATGGTAAGTATATTATTAATATTTTTAGCAACTGCCAAACTGTTTTCCAAAGCATTGTACAGTTTAACATGGTAGTACAACTGTGCATGAGAGTTCCAGTTACTCCATATCCTCACCAATACTTAGTACAGTCTTTTTTGAATCCTTCTAATAAGTGTGTCATTGTACTGCATTGTGATCTTAATTTTATATCCCTAATGTTAATAATGTTGAGCATCTTTTTTTTTTTTTTTAAAGGGGGACTTTTAAAAAAAATTTATTTATGTTTGGCTGCATTGGGTTTTCATTGCTACGTGCAGGCTTTCTCTGGTTGCAGCAAGTGGGGGCTACTCTTCGTTGCCATGTGCAGGCTTCTCATTGAGGTGGCTTCTCTTGTTGGAGGGCACGGGCTCTAGGCGCACGGGCTTCAGTCGTTGTGGCACACAGGCTCAGTAGTTGTGGCTCGCAGGCTCTAGAGCACAGGCTCAGTAGTTGCGGTACACGGGCTTAGTTGGTACACAGGCTTAGTTGCTCCACGCCATGTGGGATCTTTCCAGACCAGGGATTGAACCTGTGTCCCCTACATAGGCAGGCAGATTCTTAACCACTGCACCACCAGGGAAGCCCCAGTGTTGAGCATCTTTTCATATGTTTATATGCCATCCATATATCTACTTTGCTGAAGTGTTTGAATGTTTTGCCCATTTTAAAAATTGAGTGGCTTTCTGATTATTGAGTTTTAAGATTCTTTTGCATATTCAGCATACAAGTCCTTTGTTAGGTATGTGATTTGCAAATTTTTTTTTTCCAGTCCATGGTTTGTTTTTTTATTCCCTTTAAAGTATCTTTTGAAAAGCAGAAATTAATTTTGATTAAGTCCAGTGTGTCAATTTTTCTGTTAGGGATTATGTTATTAGCTATTATATCTTAAAAAAAAAATTTATTTGCCTAATCCAAAGTCACAAAGATTTTCCCCTCTATTTTCTTCGAGAAGTTTTATACTTTGAGGTTTTACATTTTAGTCAGTGATTCATTTTGAGTTAGTTTTTGCGGATGGTACAAGGTATGGATCAAAGTTCATATGGATATCTGATTGTTCCACCTCCATTTATTCAGAAGACTCTCCTTTTTCGTCTTCGTCATCTTCTTTTTTTTTTTTTTTTTTTAGATTTTTATGTTTATTTATTGCTGTAGAACAACTGCCTGACATAGAGAAGATACCATTAATGGCTTTGGAGATTTGTTTCCCCTTTTTCTTCTTAATAGCAGCTTTGTCAAAAACAAATTGACCATATATGTGTGGGTCTACTTACGGACCTACTCAGTTCCATTGCTCTTTTTGTCTATCTTGATGCCAATATTATACTATCTTGGTTACTGCAGCTTTTTAATAACCCTTTAAGTCAAGTAGTGTTAAGTCATTCAACTGTGTTCTTTTTCAAAGTATTTTGGATTCTTTGAATTTTCATGTGAATTTTAGAATCTGTTTGCCAATTTCAACAACAAAAAGTCTGCTGAGATTTTCATTGGGATCATGTTGAATCTAGATCGATTTGGCAAGAATTGACTTCTTAACAATATTAAATTTTCTTCTAAATAAAGACCATTTATTTAGGTCTTTTAAAATTTCTCAGCAATGTTTTATAGCTTTCAACGTAAAGGTCTTATACATCTTTTGTCATATTTATCCTTAAGTATTTGTTATTTTTAATGCTATTATAAATGGTATTTAAAATTTTTGATTTCTGGATTGTTCACTGCAAATATGTACAAATACACTTCTTTTCCAATCTGTGTACCTTCCATTTTTCTTTTTTGTTTTATTGTACTGACCATCAGTACAGTGCTCAAAAGAATTGGTAAGAGTGGATGTCCTTATCTTTGGGAAAAGGCATTTGGTCTTTTACCATTTTATATATACTTTTATATAGATATATGTTAGCTATAGGTTTTTCATAGATACATTATCAGGGGATTAGGAGGTTCCCTTCAGTTCCCAGATTGCTGAGAGCTTTTATTAGGAATGGATGTTGGGTTTTTTTTTGTTGTTTTTTTTTTTGCGGTATGTGGGCCTCTCACTGTTGTGGCCTCTCCCGTTGCAGAGCACAGGCTCCGGACACGCAGGCTCAGAGGCCATGGCTCACGGGCCCAGCCGCTCCGCGGCATGTGGGATCTTCCCGGACCAGGGCACGAACCCGCAACCCCTGAGAGTCGGCAGGCGGACTCTCAACCACTGTGCCACCAGGGAAGCCCTGGATGTTGGTTTTTGTTAAATGCTTTTATCTGCATCCATTGAGGTGACCATATGGTTTTCACCTTTATTCTGTTAATTGCTGTATTACATTGATTTTTGATATTAAACTTTGCATCACTACAGATCCCATGGACATTAAAAGGATTCTAATAAAGGAATACTGTGAACAGCTCTATGCCCCCAGAATTGATAACCCAGATGAAATGGACCAATACCTTGAAAGATACAATCTTCTACAACTTAGGAAGAAATAGACATTCTGAACAGACCTATACCTATTAAAGAAATTTAATAAATAATTAATAACCTTCCAAAACAGAAAGCACCAAGCCCAGATGGGTTCACTGGTGAATTCTATTAAATGTTGAAGGAAGAAATTATACCAATTCTCTATAATTTCCTCCAGAAGATAGAAGCAGAGTGAATACTTGCTACCTAATTCTGTGAGGCCGGCATTACCCTAATACTGAAACCAAACAAAGATATAACAAGAAAAGAAAACTACAGACCAGTATGTCTTATGAACACAGATGCTCATCTATCTAATGAGCTAATTTACATCTTGTAAAGAATATAAAATAGTGCAGTCTCTATGGAAAACAGTATGGTGGCTCCTCAGAATATTAATGATAGAATTACTGTGTGATCCAGCACTCCCACTTCTGGGTATATATCCAAAAAAATTAAAAGCAGAATCTCAGAGAGATCTTTGCATACTCATGTTCATAGCAGTATTACTCATAATAGCCAAGAGATTGAAGCAACCCAAGTATCCATTGATAGATGAATGTATACACAAAATGTGGTGTGTTTGTGTGAATATATATATATATATATATATATATATATACACACACATACATACATACACAGAGAGAGAGAGAGAATGGAATAGAATAGAATATTATTCAGCCTTAGAAAGGAAATACTGTCACATGCTACAACATGGATGAAACTTGAGGACATTATTCTAAGTGAAACAGGCTTATACCTGCTTATGAGAGCCAATTGTTAGACGTTCATGAATTTTGCAAGCTGGTTGAACTCAGATGGGTAGCTTGAAATTAGCCAGGATAGAGATTTTTAGACCATAAAATGTGCAAATGCTTTTACAAATTGGGGAGAGTTAATTGATAACTATATACCAGCACACTAGTTATTATTGCTCATCGGTCCTTGGCCTCTGATTGTAAAAGAATCCTAGAAATACAGGGAAGAGGATAAACCCAGGGAGGTACTGAGGAATGTTCTCATTCAGCCTGAGTCTAGGAGAGTTAGTAATGAGAAACTAGTGTACTATTTGACATGTATCAGCTCTAGTAAATATTACTTTGATTGTATATGAAATCAACTACCCAATATTTGACTTTTCCATCCTGCCTTTAATCCAAGTTAAGGTTTTTCTCTGTATTCTTGAAACAGCTAAATGGTAGAGAAAACTATCAGCATAGCCTTTCCATAGACTCCTTTTGACAAGTTGCTGAATTTGTGTCCTTTTGATTTCGAGTAGTTCAAAAGTTTTGTTTCTGCTTCTTTAGGAGCATTCTGGAAGAGTTTTCCGACTCCAGTTTGATGAATTCCAGATTGTCAGTAGTTCACATGATGACACAATCCTCATCTGGGACTTCCTAAATGATCCAGCTGCCCAAGCTGAACCCCCCCGCTCCCCTTCTCGAACATACACTTATATCTCCAGATAAATAATCATACACTGACCTCAGACTTGCCCAGGTATGAAAAAGAATTGTGAACATAGCACTGTGGGTAGGAAATGGAACATTGGCTGTAAGGTATTGTGAGTTCATGGAGGCTTCTCATGCCCTTTATATCTCCAAGTCCTGTAAAGCAGGAGCTGACACCATGAGACAGGGCTGGGGGCTGCACATTGGACACTGCCTTTGGTTGAGGTAGCCAGCCTCAGTTCTTAGATGATTCTTGAACTAGATCTAGATGATCCTTGTGTAGTAGAACTAATATTCCTGCCTCAGTAATCTAGTAGGATTTTTAAGAAAATAAAATGAGATTTGAATCAGTTTCAAAACTAAAAGTATTGACTCTAAAGCCTATGGCTTTGTAATTCCCAGATTAAACTAGCACCTTTAATGGAGACCCTTTAACCCAAGTAGATAACCTAATGTGTGAAAGGAAAAATTTCTTGGTGAAATATCGGGCTGCCTTCTCACAGCTCTGCCTTGTCAGTATCATTTGATTGTAAAAGGTAGCTTTTCTTTTATCCTTATCCGCATTCCCTACTGCCTCCAAAAAAGAAAAGAACTATTTTTTGACCTTGGAAATAGCTCTGGAGTTGGTGAGAACTCCATATAATCTCCCACTCAAGTCTCCATCCTGTCTCTGGGGCAGGAAAAGATCCTAACATTCATCTTAATCTATAGCCGTGGTATATTTAGGTCATACTTGGTGCCCTAACCAGTTCAAATATAGGTAATCACTGGTTTGGGAAAACTGTACTAGCTACTGGGGAGGATTGCCATTATTGTGATTTCTTGTTTCCCATACTTGCCTCCGTTCTTGTGCCAGAAGTACACATTTAGTACCCTTTTCTGCACATCTTTCTATAGTGGTTCTTCTGACCAGGGTGTTTCATGCCCTGCTGGGCTCGCTTCAGTGCTCACTTCTCTCACAGAGGATGCACTGCTTCCTCAACCAAGGCACACAGACAGGCCTAGGTGAGAATCCTAGCTGCATGCCCTTGGGCAAATAACTTCCCAGAGCCTTAGTTTCCTTATTAGTAAAATGAGAGTTGCAATACCTACCACACAGCTGTTGTGAGGATCCCCTTGAAATGTTATCTGTAAAATTCTTAGTGCTTAGCACAGTGTCTAGCACATAACAGGCCCTCACTAAAAAGCCATTAATTAGTATTAATATTGTAGTCGTCATGTACCTACCCCCTCCTTTTGCCAAAATTTTCTCCTCCTTAGATTTTGATGGCATTTTGTCATTTTTAATATTCTTCCTGGCTCTCTGATTATTTATGTCTCCTTCTTTCTCTCACCCCTAAAACACAGACATCCACTAAGAGTCTGTCTCGGGCTTTTCTTCCTTATCTGAGTTCCCTGCTTTGGCTGCCTCATCTCTTCCCGAGGCTTCAGCTCTCATCTCTAATTTGTATCTGTAGTCCCAACCTCTGCCTAATCTCCAGGCCACATTTCCAGACACCACCTACATACCTGTCCTTGAAGGTACTAGGAGCACTTCTAGAGCACACATCTAACAATCAGGCTCTCCCCTCATCTACACTGCCAGTCCCCTCCAGCCAAGCAACCAGATGGCCTCACCTCACTCCCCCACTTTTGTTAGTGGCACATTGCGTTCATGGCTGCTAAGGGCTGGAGCCTCAGAGCTGTCCTCGCCCGCTCTACCATTATAGGGAGCAGCTGAAAGCTTGATGCTACACCCACCATAGTCACTCTTAATCTCTAGATATCAGAGTCACTCTGCATGAGCACTACAGCCCTGACCATGTCAGTGAGCCCTGCCGAGTCCCCAAACAGGCCATGTAGCCTTTGACAGAAGCTCCTGCATGGCATGGACAGAAAGCGGGCATTAGGAAGGACCCCTGAGCCTTTCCCCCAATTGACAGCTAGTTTAATATTCTTTTCCTCTTAGAGAAAGTGAGAAATATAGGAAAAGGGATTAATGACTACGTGCTCTGTTTTCGCACAGGACTCATTAAAGTTGCGGTATTTAACGTATCTGCCAATACCAGGATGAGCAACAACAGTAACAATCAAACTACCACCCACTTTCCCCGGACTAGCTGAGGAGCAGGGCTTTAAGACTCCTGTTGGGACACAGCTGGTCTGCAGTCGACCCAGGATGGTTTACTCAGCACAGCTGACTGCTTCCGTGCTGCTATCAGAAGATGTCTTCTATCTTTTGTGAATGATTGGAACTTTTAAACCCCACCTCCCCTCCTTCTTTCCTCCTGCTCCTGTTTTTTCCTCATTTGGTTCCAGACAGAGATGACATAAATATATTTAGTGTTTTGCCAGAATCTCTCTTGCTTTGCCGTTAAGCAGAAGAACTAGTTTCCTATGGAGCCTACTGGGAGAGAGCCGCTTCTAAGGGACAGGGGATACAACTTCAAGCCAGACGGCACCCAGTGTCTCCCTGTAAACTGCAAGAATACCCAGCACCTGGCAAGATCTGCCCAGCCCCACTGTGCTTAGGAGGAAACAGCTGTCTGTGTAGCCTCTGGGGCAAGAAAGAAAGAAAACAAGAATGTACACCCTGGAAGATCTGGGCCTCTTTCCTTCCATCTCTTTCTCTGTTTCTGTCCCTCTTGCCCCTTCTCCCACTCCCCTTCAACATGTTTATCTGCTCCACCTGAGAAGAAAGAATATGAAGAAAGTATCCTCAGTTATCATGAGGCAAATGAGAAAATGCAATACTTAGAAGAGTTAAGTACCCTTCAGTCAAAATTTCAAACCCAGGCTTTTGCTGCAAGTGACCCTATGTGGCGACGATGGATTCTCAGACATGGTACTGTCGTCGTATTTGCACCTCTTCTCTCTTCTCCTTGTAACACCCACCCACGCCCCCAAAACAAAAGGGGGAGGGGCAGAAATTTCCTGGGCTCCTTCAATGGCCACATCTTTTCTGGACTCAGCAGTCTCCTCGATTCCATGTAGAGTGTGGAAAGGAGTTGCTGATTGCATTTCCTCTCATTAACAATTAGATGTGTAATAAAAAGCGTACTTCATCTTAAATCACTGCTAAGGCTCAGCCTACAGAAGGGGTTGAAATGGCCAGAGCCATTCTGCATAATGGTTCGCATCTCTGATTTCCTCATCAGGGCCTGCAAGTACCCAGGCGTGCCTGTATCTTTGCCGAGACCACGATCAGGCTAGCTTACCAGGTGGTCAAGACTAAAAGGTGATGTCTTTTTCATTTAAGCCAGTAAATATTGTCTCTCAAAAATCAAGCTAATCATCTCAACCTTGCTCTGCAGAACCTTCCTTCTGCTTTTCCAAACCTGGTATTTATAAAAGGCAAAACTGCCAGAGAGAGAATCAGGGTGAAGTTTGGCACACAGGGTTTATTAATGGCACAGAAATGCCTTCTCTTTCCTTTTCTTCCTTCTCTTGGCCTTATTTTACTCTCCACTCTCCCCAATAAAATTCCTCTGGCAGTTGGTGAGCAACATAAATAAATGGACTTCAGGAAGAGCCAAGGCTTACTGGCCACTTCAAAATCAGCTATAGAGGCTTCAGGTGCAGGGCACGTGTGCCCCCCAACCTGGGGGCACAGGGAGTACTATCAGTATGTGCCCGGCTTGTTTCCCTGGGCAGGAATGGGCCTTCACCAGCCATATTGTGTGGCACAGACACACCCATCAATGGGCACAGGGCAGTCTCCAAGTCTTCCCTTGGAAGCTGAGCAGACAGGCCCATTGTTTCCGTTATATCAAAGCAGTTGAGTAAAAGAAAGGCCCCTTTTAACCAGCTGCTGTAAAAACTTCAGAATGGGATCCTGTTGCAGGCGACCTCAAAGCCAGGCCACCTTTAGTTGGGGGCGGGGGGGGGTCATCCTCACTCTTTCCTCTGCTTTGCCAGAAGGAATCCTCTTCCCAAAATATGCCCAGACTGAATCTTGTTACGTACTGAGAGGCAGATTGTGCATATGCATTTTCCCTTTCCTGCTTTATGAGTGCTTTTAAGCTTTTAGTTCCAGGTTATAGTCAGAAAACATTTCCCAGTGAAATGATTGTCATTGCTTGGGAAATTCTGGGTTGGCCAAAAAGTTCGTTCGGATTTTTCCACACATCTTACAGAAAAACCCAAAGGAACTTTTTGGCCAACCCAGTATTTTCTGAATATAATTTCCTTACCAAATACCCACATGCTAGATGTATGTCTTCTATTTAGCCACTATCAGGGTTCCTTGTCTATTGTCTTGACTGTGTGTGTGTGTGTGTGTGTGTGTGTGTGTGTGTGTGTGTGTGTTGACTGTTAATGGCTTTTTGATTGGTTAAGGATTTTGCTATAGATGAGGCAGAGGGCCATCCCAGGTCAGGCATTAAAGAGGCATGGATTTTGAGCTATTTCAAAATATTGTCCAATAGCCATAACTTTACCAGTCCTTCTCTTATATGCTGCTATTCGGAAGTGGAACCATGGAATATTCATTGGTCCCCAGGGTTTTGCTCTCTCATCTAGGTTCAGTTGAAGGTATGTTGACAGGAGCTTGTCCAGTACATCATAAATGAGATCAAGGGTGAACCCTGCAGTCTGGAGCCATTAGCTCTATGGAGGATATTCTCCAGGTTGTCCTCTGCTGCTCACGGAAATGGGAATGAAGTTAAGTGGTCTGAAAAACTTGTCGGTCACATTTCTCAGCTCCTGGGGGTCATTTACCAGTTCATTGTAGAAGAAATAATCAGGTAAGTAGAAGTTTGTTTCCAGAGAAGGTAAATGCCACTTACCATCTCTGCATGATTTCAGTGGGAATCGATTATCACTAATCCCCAACTGGGCTAGAATAAAAATAAAGTTTGACCTTTTTAAAAAGACAAGAGAAATGAAGTCTCAACACCTCCAAAGGAATGGTAGAAAAGGAGCTGAAGGTGTTTCTGGGCTCTGAAATGAAATGTCCCCATTGTAGATTAGTCTCTTCTCACTAAAATTCCAATTTAGGCCTGAAAGAAACATCTCATAAAGATGGGAGGAATCCTGTTCAAAGGCAGACAAGGAGCGTGTGCATGCCCCTGCACCTGGTTACTCTGTGGGCACTTGTGAGCTCTCTGTTCACACTGGGGCTCCTTGGACAAAACCAGCATGCCTTGCTACATATGTGTGTATTTCCACTGCTGAGAACATCCTTTTACTTTCTTAATGTGCAGTTTGAAAATGGACATGAATTGTGAGTGGGAGGCCTTTTACACTTGTCCCTTGGCAAAATTCTTTCCAATGACTCTTCACCAGAAACTTCAGAGGTAGGGACTCTCTGGGATTCTGTTGACAAGTAATAAAGTCTGGCCCTCATAGCTTGTTTCTGGGAAAGACCCTGGAATCCCTAAATCATTCTGTTTTCTGCTTGAGTAAGAAAAATCCTTTTTATTTTTCTTTTGTAAAATCAAAAGCTGAAGAGAAGAAAATATGCACTCTTCTCCTTTGCTGTCTCCTGGTACCCATTGGTCTGAATAGCTGTGGTTGGTCTGTTTCTTACTTAGCACTTGGTTGTACGTGGAAACACAGGGCTGGGGGTGGAGTGGTGGGGGGAATATTAGAATAATTAGGGCAAAATTTTCTTCCCCAGAATTAGACACCTTTGTATTGTTGACCTTCTTGGCATCTTAGATGGTAATACCTTCCTGCCTAGAACAGCGCAGGCCAGAGAGGCTAGGCTGCAAGCTTGATTCTGGAGGAATCCAAAGGACTTCCAGTGTCAAAAGGGATGCTTCGATGCCTACCACCTGTTTGATGATCAGGTTTGCCATATGACTTTAATCCATATTTCTGATCTCCTCCTTCATTTCTCTGAGTTCAGCAGACTTCCCCGAGCTGGAAAACAGAAAAAGGTGCCCTTGCTTCTTTTTGCCTTCCTCTCTTCCCTCCTAGAGTAACCCTCACTTCTACCAAGTGTACCTGAACCTGCAGGCTGAGTTTATCTCCCCAGGCCTCATCCACATAGCCGATCGCTGGCAGACCACAGCCCCTTACGTTATTCACAGTCTCAACATAATCAGTGTTGAAAAGACAGCCATCTCTTAGTAGATTAAAGCTGAGTTTCTCTTCTTGTTACTTTACCTGTAGTTCATTTGTGACTTCAGAATCCTTGGAACTGAGGAGAGAAACCAAAAAAGCATGATTATGGCTGCTGATTTCAGGTGGAACTTAATGCATTGAAATCCAGAAACCTCTTCTGTTGGAAACTGAGTACCTATGACCTAAAATTTCCTGGAGGCAGATGACACCTGCCAACATCTTTCCAGCCCACCCAACTGGTTCCTGGGTGGCTGTGTGGGTGTTTATGGGTCAGTGCAGTAAACAGCATTATAAAGCTTCACCTCCCCTCTGTCCCTTTCTCTTCTTGGACACTGATGGAAAAGACCAACAGGAAGGGTTAGCTCTCTGGGTACCAAGGATACTAACACTTTCCCAAATCAAGCCCAACACAGACTGTTCTGACGGATGTTCACTGGACTCCAGCTATGGGGCAGGCCTGGCAACAAGTGTGAGCCTCCCTGAGAGCTTTCGGTTGGCTCAGGCTTTATTCTCTAGACTCTTCAGTACTGACTGCTTTGACTTTTGTGATTATGTTATGGTGATGTGTAGTCAATGTACCAATATGTTCACAACCTAGGATCATGGTAATACAGTGTGTTTTGTTTTGTTTTTAACTGTTCAGAAAAAAAGTAACTTAAATTACAAATATAAGATTAAAGTGAATGTCCTAGGTGTCTTATCTCTTTACACCAACATGAAGAGGACAATGACTTTTTCAATATAGAAACTGAGGGAGTAAACAGAGACCTTTTGAAGGTAATCTGACATGAGAAAGCAATATTGAGAGAAGACAGGGCCAAATGGGTATGAATAAGTATGGGAAGGGAACCCAGGCATACAATTAGTGTTCCATGTTGAATTAAATTGAAGCCAAAAGTGATGTCTAACTTGGGAACTGGTCACTATAGCCTTGGCCTACCAACCTGAGCTCAGAACTTAAGTTTTCCTCTGCCACCTCATTAGGTGAAAAGACTTGGGTTTCCCTGGCATCCCATTTGATCAGTTTCAAGATGGGAGAGCTCACATTTGGGGGTAATTTCAAGAGAGATTCCAACAAGCTATAAAAATGAAGGGAGCATTGACTGGGGAAACCCACCCTCCTTCCCTTCTTAAATCAAACCTAGGGAAGTGAGTACCAGGTTGCAGCCAGACCGTTCCCTCCTCTCCTCCCTCTTCCCCTCTGGTGCCACAAGCAGGAACCTCAGTAAAAGTAACTCATCCTTGTTCTACATCTATGGGCTTTTAGTAGTGGTGGTCCTCCCTGCCTGACGAGGCCCCCTGGCCCTGTCAGCCTGTTGTGCCTGTTGTACCTGGATTGACAACTGCGGTCATTAGAGCATTCTCAGACTATTAGATGACAGGGCCCCAGTGCTAGAACAGGAGGCATGTCAGAGCATCAGGTGCACCTGACGTTGTGCAAATGAGGAACCTGAGGAACAAGAAAAAGGGCTCCTCACACTGCACAAGACCACACTGGAGTCTCCTCCCTAAGAGCTAAGGAGAGGGAAGGGGAGGAGTCAGTGGACACTCCTGGGGCCACTGGCATCTACTCAGTTGTCACTTGTAGGCTGGACTCCTGAGCCCAAAATTGAGCAGAGGCTGGGCTTGGGAGGGTTATGGGTCTCACCTTGAAACCCAGTGTCAAATCGCTCCTCTCTAGGAAGACTGGGGTCTAGGGCACACCCTTGGAAGACTCAGCCCTGAAATCACTTTCCTAAAGCAAGGCTGGGCCTGGAATCCCTCTCCCCTTGAAACCTATAGCTGTACCACCATCAGCAATGACTGAGGGGAGGAGACCTCTCTTCATCCTGATTGGCTCTTGCCAATTAAGAGCATTTTATTAGGCTGCTAATTAAAGGCACTTTGTTAGCAACAGGAGAGGCCGGGTGGGTGCCTGGTGAGATGGAGCCGAAGCCAGGAGAAATCATTTTCCTCCCCCCACATGGAAGCTGAGCCTCTCAGGGAACCCTCTCAGTCCCCCAACCTCTCCCACTGCACCTACCACACCCCTTGCTTTCAATTATTGGCTCTGAGGGGAGTGAGGTCATTACGAAGTCCAGGTAGAGAACCATCCCCTGCCTCAGACCAAATGAGGCCTTCGGGGGGCTGTCCTTGTCCCAGTCTCAGTGCACTCGTGTACCTCCTTTGGAGTCTGGGTCCAGGAAAGGAGAAGCCCAGGGGGTTGTGTTTGTTCTCCCCACTGGGGAATGGCCCTTGGGTCCCCATCACTCAGACTGTCACTAACTTGGGTCACATGGTATGAATCTCCATGCCCACTTCCTCACCAAAGGCTCAGGAGGTTATTAGGAAATGTGACCTTCCTATAACTTTTGCAAGAGCTGAGCCCACTTAGACGCAGAGTGGGTCCAGGAAGAGGGGCTGGACCCACACATTTCAGACACTTAACCCTGCCTGGTCCAGCTGAGCACCAGGAAGGAAAGTCCCCTTCCTCCAACAAGAGAGGAGGGCCTGGCTATGACTTAGCACATAGGGGCTGGCATGCAGGGTCAGAGATACCCCCTCGCCAGAACCTTCCCTGTCCCATCTTGCTGCCCTCCTCACCCCCTCACTTAACTGCAGAATTAGCACCAGCCCAGGCTGGGAGGGCGGATTTATGGCTAGGCCTGCCTCCTATTTAACCCGAGGCCGGTCCAGGCTCCAGACACTAAATTAGATTTTTGACAATTAGAGAGACTAACGGGCACGTAGCCATCCCCAGAGCCAAATATCCAGCAAGGCTGTCCTTTAATATCCACCATTGGCCAGCTAGCCCCTCCCTGGCTGCCCTCCTCTCTCCCCTGGTGGGCATTTCCCTCCCACACCCTGTATCTCTCTACCCCAGCTCTGAATGCACTCCAGAGGTTTCTCTGGTTCCGTCTCCCTCCATTTCTTACCCTCTCCTCCCACCCCTGGCCCAGTACCAGCTCGGCTCTGGGGCTCTGCCCCCCCTTGCCCTCCAGTCACATCTCTCTATCTCTGCCTCCCCGAGGCCCATCCCTCTATAATCTTTCCATAGGCCCCTAGCAGACAGCAAGCCCCTTGAGGGCAGGGGTTTGTGCCCTACCTGTATCTAGCATGCCTAGTAAGGAACGGGTGCTTAATAAATGTTTATCGTTTCCTGGGCCTGACTCCCTCTGAGTCCCTGGATCGCTAAGGCCTGCCCATGCTGCCCTCCTGGCCCCAGGCCCTGGCCTGGCTGTGTGCCAGCATGGGCTGGGTCCTCTTTCCTTGCAGCCCCGCAGCTCTGGCCAGTCTTGGGCTGGGCGGGTAATGAGATTGCAGTAAGTGGCGTTCGTGGGGGAAGCTGCTCACATTCACTCAGGCCGGCTCATAGCTCTGTCAGGCTGATTGGTCCTGAGTGGAGGCACAAACGGCCCCCCACGGACACACTGAGATTGGTTATAAAATTACAAGCATTTGTTCTGCTGTCAGTGGCCTTCGCTCCCTCCCTGCCTGCCTGCCTGGGCTCCTCACCGCCCCCCACCCAGCCTACTCTCCCCTGGGGTCAGCCCATAAACCCTGAAGGACCCTGGCCAGGGGCCACCACGCCAGATGAGGCCAAGAGGCTAAGGCCACCAGGCTCCCCAAACAGGCTGGCCTTCTTGCCTTGGCCCTGGGATTGTCACAGCTCAGGCTGGCCTCAGAGTGACCTGACCTTGTGCTCAGGGTTTCCTATTCTCTGAAGGTAAGTGTGGGTGGGGGCCCAGGGCAAATAGGCCTTGGAATCCAGACGCTCTGATCCCAAGTACAGGAAGATGTCCCAAGCCCAGGTCTCCCTGGGTCTACCAGTGCCCACGACATTTGAGGGAGTCCAGGGCAGGGGTTGGGGTGGCTGGGAGGCTTCCATGCTAAAGGAGGGAGCAGCAAAAGCCAGGTTGGTGGGAGGAGTCCATCTCTCTTCCCTTCATGTGGCCAGTCCCCTGCCATGTACCCTAACCCCAGGTAAGGACAAATCAGCTCTCAGGACAGTCCTCCCACCCCTACCCCCAGTCCCTGGAGCCAGACCTAAAAGCCAATTTGGCCCACCAGATGCCTGCTATGGTATCCCCTACAGACTGAGTCCCCTTAGCCTGGCCCTTGTACTCACCCTCTAGGACCAAGGGTCAGTCAGTCCTTCTGGCCTTTGCAGGGGCCCAATTACCCCAAAGCAGATGTGCCTTGAGATCCTGGTTTGTGCTCTGGTGATACTCTCACAAAGCTACTCACTCCTTACTGGCCCTGCTTCCCTGCCTGACACAGACACACCAGCCAGTCCCTCTTACTCTGGCCTCTCAGCCTCCTTCCCACACTCATTCCTCCAAAAAGGCCCCAGGCCCTGGCCCTTTCCTGGCCCCTCAGCTCCAGCCTCAGTCCCTGCCTGACTGTCACCGTCCTGTTGGGAGACACCAGGGTGCCCTGCGACCAGGTGCCGGGTTCCCCAGCTTGGAGTAGGAACTTGAGGGAGCATCGTTTCCTGGCTGCTGCCTACAAGGTGCCTTCCTGCCATCCGTCGTTCATTCTCAGCCCAGAATGTATTCGCTGCAATTACATCTTTAATTAGGGTGGTGATGGCTCATTGTTTAACAATGATGGATCAGATCCTCCTACTTACCTTCCTCCCTCTGTCCAGCACCCTCCAGGTCAGCTCTCCCCCAGCACTGGGGTTGGGAAGGGTGCACAAGAACTTGCCCTCTCCTGGGGACCACCAGATGTCTCCTTGGTCCAAAGTGGCCAGGTTGTGACAGGGAGGCAGGCTGATGTTGCCCCCATACACACACATGTCACCATCACCACCCCAGGCTGGGCCCTGAGCCACACACTCATCTGAGGGGCTGACAAGCACAGAAAACCTCACAAGTGTTGGGTGCATGTGTGGGCAGCCCTAACTCCAAGCTCCCCTGTGAATCAACCAGGGTCTCTGGCAAGTTCTCCGCTCCCATATACTTGTACCCACTCAGGCCATAGGCCCAGGTCCAAATCTGAACGTGGTGGCTGTTCAATGACAGTGTTCAGTAAATGAACATGTCAGTCGGTAAGGGGAGATCTGCTCTGAGAGGGTGAGGCTCAGAGCTCCTCATTGGAGGCCCTGGGCTGGCTGGAGTCCATGGTGAGCAGAGGGGCCAGGATGGGCATTGAAGGCCCAGGATCCTCCAGGAAGCCTTATGGGTTAAGATCCTAATCTGGGTTAAAACTCCAATTTGGCACCTACTGATTGTATGACACTGGGTGAGTTTCCTAACCTAAGTCTCAGTTTCCTCATTTGTAAAACAGATATGAAAGCGGTACCCTACCTTGTGTGATGACTGCAGATTCATGGAGACACTGCATGTAAAGTGAAGAGTCCGGGATAAGGTGGTGGCAGCGGCAGGGAAAGGTGGTGGCTGAGCAGCTGTGGGGAGCCCATCTCTACTGTGGCTGGCTAATGGCACCCGGAGCTGGGAGGTAGCCTCCATCCTGGTTTGAGGAAGGCCTTACCCACTCCAGGCGTTGTTGGGCACAATGGTGGGGGTGGCAGGGATGTGACAAGGCTGGTGTAAGATTAGGTGCACAGTAGTTGCACAGGGCATCTTCACTGATAGGAATTGGCTGACCTCCTTTCAGAGGTGCGGGGGATCTTCCCCGGTGTGGTCAGGGTCTGGTCAGAGCAGGGTCCTGGCCTGATAGTACGGGAGGGGCTGAGAGGG